GCCGAGCCTCCCACGTGTGCCCAGGCAGCCGCCCGGGGACAGGAGACGCCGAGCCCGCCGACCGCTGCCACCCGAGTCGCCGCCGGGCCGGGAGCCGCCGCGGCTACAAGATCGGGGCGGGGCTTTTTGGAGGGCACGCCCAGAAGGCGGGGCGTCGCGTAGCGGGCACGCCCCCCTCTGGGCTTTAAAGGCGCCGCGCCTCTAAGCAGCGCTTGGGTGTCCAAGGGGTCCCGGGAGCGGATGAGTGACCTGGGCCGTCCTCTTCCTTTCCCATTCGGTTCTTTCCGTTCTGCTGTGGCCCAACCTCTCCCAGCGGCAGAATTGACGGCGGAAAGAGTCTTGCCTACACCCACATACTGGGTCGCCTCTTTTCAGGTGGACAGAACATGTCCAAGGCCTCCGTGCTTGGGGAAGCCTCGGCTTTATGCTCAGTGCTGGTTGAGAGCAGCCTCTGCCTCTGCTGTTTGTATGTGAGTTCGGCTCCCCTGTCTGAGCCTCGGTTTCCTTTGCTCACTTCTGCCAAAGGAGTCTGCTGCAAAGCTGACCTCATGGCATCTCCTCAGCAGTCCAGGAATGTTATTCCCATTTCCCAGGTGGGGAAACTGAGGCTCTGAGAGAAATGAGCTACTAAGGGCAAGGGCATAGGGCTACTAACTGTCCCGTTTGTCTGACTCTGGACCCCATACTCCTTTCTCAAGGCCACCATGTGTGCCTCCGGAGGATATTTCCCTGCCACCCCACCCCAGGATGCCCCCTTGAGGCCTCTGGGACCTGCTTAGAATTGGCCACTGTTCCTGGGTAGCTCTGCAAGTGAAACCAAGTGCCACTGGCTGGCCACCCAGGTGACCATGTGGAGACTGCCCCAAGCCCTTTCTGTGCCCACCTCCTGTGCCTGGGAATCCCTAGAGCCCTTGGACTCAGGTTCTACATGAGAGCCCAGCCCAGCGCCAGTCACGGGACAGGACGGTGAGAGAATGAGCCAGTGACCTCGGATTGCAGGGAGCCTGGGAAACTCCCCCTGCCTTTGACAGTGGCCTTTCTAACAGTGCTGCAGGGAAAGCCGTGTCCATGTCACAGCTGAGAGGCTCAGCCTCAGAGCGCTCAGGGGACACGCTCGGGTCTGCACAGCTCAGCAGGCTGGGGGCTGGCAGTCAGGCTTCTCCCTTGCGCGAAGCTGCCCGTCACCACCACCAGAAGGCCACCTGCTCGGCACACCTGCCTGCCCACCTGGCTCAGCACACCTGCCTGCACACGCTGGGGATGCGGGAAGGAGTTGGCTGGCCATGGTGAGAACATGGGGCAGGCCCTTCCCACACACGCCTGTCATTAGCGCTCGCTCCCCTGAACCCGGCGCTAGAGCCAAGAAGGGACAAAGAAAGACATATGCTGCCCTGGCACGCACCCAGCCCCTCCCGCTCCCAGAGGGCCCCAGAGATTGGAAGCCAAGGGATGGGGAGAAGCCGCCCGCCCTGTGCCCAGCACCCAGTAGGCTCTCAGTCTGCCCTGAGCTGTGAGAAGTGCAGCTGCAAGGAAGACCTGGAACTTCCCAAGCAGGGAGGGCCGGGGGTGGCCCCTTTGGAGGTTCCCGTATGTCAGCGGCCAGTGTCCATGGCTCCCTTCCCTGTGATACCAGCAGCTACCCAGAGCCAGGGGCCACATCCTTTCCCTCCTAGCAGCACCAGAGGCGTGGGGCATGGACCAGGGAGAGGCTCAGCCCTGCCTCACGGGCCGTAACCAAGTCCGTGCAGGGGGCTCCGGAGCTGTCCTTGTGCTGGCAGCCGGCTTCGGAGGCTCAGGTGCTGGGGACATCCGCTGCAGGACTGGCCTAGGAGCCTCGTTTTGTAGAGTCCGGGCCCTTCCTCTGGCAGCCATGGTGGGGAGGGTGCCCCAAGGGCTGTGGGATGCCAGGTCTGTCACCATGGCAACAGCTAGCTCCTGGGAAGCCAGAGGTGGGGGGTGTGGACCAGCCCCGCCCCCATGCAGATGCTGCCTGGGAGAGAAGAGGCCTCTTGGGCCGCTTGCCCACCCACCCGGCTTTGTCACTCGATCCCACTCTTTACAAAGGCGGAACAATACCCTGAGCTCTCACTGAAAGGGAGACTATGAGGAGGGCTGGGGGCGGAGGAGGGAGGTCACCATCAATGCCCATCCCCACTCCTGGTCCCCTGGGCCCGCCCCGCCCTGCTCCTCCTCCTTGGCTGATGCCTCCCTTCCTGGGGGCCTTGGCTGGGGAAGGGGCATCCTGACCTGTTTCCCAGCCTGGCCCCCTGGAGGTCCTTCAGGGCTGTGCCACCACTCCTGGCCCACTGGACACCCCGCAGGGTAAGCTCTGCTTCCCCTTCCTCCCTCAGCTCTGATAGCGCCCCTTGCAGGACCACCCTGGGCACCCTATGCCCTGCCGGCCCTGATGCCACCTCGGTACCTCAGGGCCACCAGAGCCTCTGCTACCGTGCCTGTCTCCCGACAGCTGGGGGCTCTTAGAAGTCACATGCCCCTTGGCATCTGAGCACCACCCTTGAAGCTGGCACCCATAAATGTCTGCTGGTGAAAAGAATGTCAGAACGAGGAGGAGGGGCTGTAGATGCTTCAGGTGAGGTTGAGATTGTCCTTGGGCGACAGAGATGTCCAAGGGAATGATTGGGGACCAGGAGAACCACCTTGCAGCTCCACCATGTGCCCAGGACACCCCTCAAGAGGGGCTGTCGGTGGGGATGGGGACCTGGCAGGTGTGCCACACACTGGCTTCCTGGGCAGGGGCACACAGAAGCCAAGGCTGTGTCCGGGAGATGGAGAGAAGCACGCGTGTGCGGCTCCGTGCGCTTGTGCGCTGCAAGGTACACTTAGGTACACTTAGGTTACCCCTGCACACAGCTGGGCAGTCCTGGGCAAGACCCCCGGATGGGGCTCAGGGAATGTACCCCTCTCCTGCAGCTTGGGCTCGTCTTCTGACTCAGTTTCCCTTTATAAGGATGTCAAGGCCTGAACTATACTATCTGTGTCACCCTACCAAAGAAGTGTTTTTAAAATTCTTCACTAGGGCTTTGATGGTTTTCACAAGAAACTCCATGTTAAAGGCGAGCAGAGAAATAAAAGAAGCAGCTTTTCCCCATTTCCTATTCTTGCCCCGTGGTAACTTATATTGAGTTAGTGTCTCTTTGGATACTTTTCGCTAGATTTTATGAACACACAAACCCATAGAATGCAATCCTTATGTTTTCTTTCTCTTATTAAAATAGATATGCTGAGTCTGGTAATGAATGTGTGTAATTCCAGCACTCAGGAGGCTGAGGCAGGAGGATTGCTGTGAGTTTGAAGCCAGCCTGGGCTACATAGCGAGTTCAAGGCCAGCCTGAACTGTATCACAAGACCCTGTCTCAAAAAAACAAAACAAAACAAAACAAAACAAAAGACTTGGTGCTGGGTTTATTGCTTCTCAGTTTTCTCACCTAAAAATCTATCCGTGGATAGTTGCATTGGATCTCCCAATAATGGGTGGGGGGAACTTAGCTTGGGAGTAGAGCGCTTGCCAAGCACACCCAAGGGTTTGGATTCCCCAGGATCACCAGAATAATTAATAAATAATAGCAATTTCTAAATATATTTATTTATTTATTTTTGTCGTACAGGGTATTGAATTCAGGGCCTTTGCACTGAGCTACACCCTCTTCCCCACTCCCCTTTAAGGGGGAAAAGTTTTATGTAGCTCTGCCTTTTTTATTTTGACACAGGATCCTATTAAATTGCCCAGGTTGTGCTCAGACTTGGGATCTTCCTGCCTCACCCTCCCAGAATGCTGGGGTTACAGACACACCCATATTACACACCCCACCATGCCCAGCTAAGAACAGTAATGTAGGGGTTGAATGCTTGGGTGCTCACTGTAGGTTTTGTTCCATTCTTTTTGTGTGTGTGTTTAAATTTCCATAATAAGGTGATTTTTAAAAGCTCCCCTCATGTATGTTTTTCTGTGTCAACACTCAAGGATGCAACTTTTCTTTTTAATAGCCACTTTGATTTCCACAATGTGGATTTGTTATAAATTACTCAGCTACTTTCCTGTGGACAGACATATGTTGTCTCTGATATGATCAATATTCCCTACACAGAGGGAAACAGGCATGTGTATCCAGGGAGAGCAAATCTGGCCCTCAGGTTGTTTTTGTAAATAAAGTTTTATTGGAACTCAGCCATGCATATTGGTCTACATATCGTCCATGCTTCCTTCAAAGCTACAGTGGCAGAGCTGAGTTATGACAGAGACCACAGAGGCTGCAA